ATTTTTCACAAAATTTTTAGCTAGCATTGAAAATCAATTTTCTTAACGTGGTCGATAGTTGTGGGCTCCCGAATGGGCGTCTGACAATCCTTACAGCTTAAAGTATTTGGGAATAAATAGAAAAACGCGATTTTATCAACTCAAGTTAGTGAATCAACTGAAGTCACTCAAGTGAGTGACTCAAGATTTCTTATTCAGACAATAGAAGGACAAATCTGGACGTAAAAGATAATAAATACCCGGATATAATGAACAAGAGCATCAACAAGCACGGCACGAAAGACATAAATGTCGCAGGGAACCGCGTTTTCAGGAACCGGTAGAAGGAGGTGGGCACATCTTGTTGGCTCATGATCTTCCCAGTCTGTTCTGGCATTGATGGTCGCATCGACTGGTTCTAGGACATCTTCATCACGCAGGAGACGAAGAAAGGTAAGTATGGCGACACGCGACTCGCGAGCATCCAGCTCTCCCGACTTGTCCTTATCGCAAAAGCGTGTGAAACGAGCAAAGATGTTCGTATATGCTGCTGCCCAAACGATTGTCTCAAGTCGAAGACGAACGAGTTGAAGAAGGGCCGTATAATCATACTGACTATCGTGTTTACATGGATCTGTTGCATAAATATCTTGTGCTTCGCCACCGCTAGAAGGAAAAAGATAGATAACATATGTTATTATCATTGCTAGAAAGAATGCCATCTTTGGCAGCTCAAGACGAAACTTGAGCAATACTGTCCAAGTAACATACCGCCATTTTTTAATGAACAAAGTTTTGCTAGAATGTTCTTATATACCATATACATTTTTTTTATAAAACGACGTGAATTGATTCTCGTTTCTTACCGAACGACGTCAAATATCAGTGGATCACATCCCCCGAGCTTGACGAGTTCTTCGCCCAGTGTGCGTAGCAATTTGTTGTTTTTGTTTTTAAGTGAAAAACAAGTATTCAAAAATTACTTGAATATATTTTCTATATCCTTCTGTTGCCATCAGAATTTCAAAGCACAGAATCATAATATCGGAATCTTCAACATTTTGTTCCCATTATGATAGAGACATAATGGACATTTACTCGTCGTTTTTGTTTCAATCGTCTTGACGATTTTTTCCAGTCGACTCGAGGTGGGTACCCGTTGCCAGTAGCGAGTGGTTTCTTCCCATTCCGTATCTTCTGTTCCATCTCTGTCATTACTTCTAGCGACCGGACGCTGAAAGTGCGAAAAAAAGTTGACGGTTTCATAACCGTATCTAGATGTAGTGTTGAAATAAGGCTTCAGGACTATTGTAGGAATGTCTACGCATTGTGCTTCCCATAGAGGTATGAACAAAATGTAAACTATCATATTCTCTTCGATTGCCATAGTATCACCGATCAACTGAATGAAATCCGATAATGCTTTGTTTCCAATGAGAATAGATACGATGTAATTGCACTCCAACTCATCTTTCCGAATGTTCAAGAAGAGTTGCTGTTTTGCTAGGTCTCGAAAAGTGAGCGTCGCTCGAACAGATACTGTTTCCACTTTGATCGACTGTAAAGTGGTTGGCGAGAGAAGCATAATTGTGATCGGAATCATGACATCTTCGGTCGTCTCAGAATCAGTTATCCCATCAATTTTTTTGAACAGTTCAAATGGAGTACGAGTGGGCGTCGAACCAGGAATGGATGTGGATGGTGAACTAAACATAAGTGGGATACGATTACATAGGAGTTTTACTAGTCGGCAACTATTAGCAAGATCCCGTCCCCTTTCCCAAAGCTGAAAACGAAAATTTTCGCTATCGGGTTTTTTATTGCTAATATAGCCTCTAGGTCGTCCAATGCCATATGAGGATCTTCACTATTAACATATCACTGGAACAAAAAAAATAAAGTTGGTTTAGAGTTGCTGAAAAGTGATTTTTCGTATTCCGCACACTCGATAACCCAGAAGATTTTCTATTTTTGGCTCGGGTACTTCCGGAAGTTTAAGAAAAATTTTGAAACAAAATGGCGCAAAAAGTTTTCCATGGAAAAATAATATTAATTTGAAAACTTTTCGTAAACTTTCGGAATTACCTGGGGCCAAAAACAGAAAATCTTCTGGGTTATCGAGTGTGCTGAATACGAAAAATCACTTTTCAGCAACACTAAACCAACTGTACTTTTTTTCCAGTGATATGCTTAGTATTTTTACTACATCGAACTTTCGACATCCTTAGCAGAAAGCCTTCCACTGCCATTTTTCAGTTGATACAATACTGTCCTATTAAGAATGATTATCTCTATTTCAAATGTGCTTAGAACATAGGTCATAGACCCGTCATACCGCTAAACGGCCAGTTTTCGGCTACTCCAGTTGCAGAAAAAAGGCCAAACACGTACAAAAAATAAAGATAGATATAGTTTTCTGGTAAACTGGGCACACCTGACTTGAAACACTGAACAATATTCGTGAGAAATTGTTTGATAAAATGTTTTTCAACTCATTCTCTTTTGAAGTAATTCAGTCAATTTTTTACTCCAGTACGGTCAGTTCAAAATTCCTAAACCGGCTTAGGATAGGCAATCGAAAACTGCATAAGATGCAATAGTTTTATCAAGAGGCAAGATGACTCCTGATGTAGCTCTAATCACCGATCTTGCCTATATTCCAAAGGAGTAGAAACGAAGTTGGGAAAGTGTTTTTTCTCAAGATTATATCTATGACTTAGGAGTACAATAGGAAAATCCCAGTCCGCTTAACGACTCTCAAGACAGGTGAATAATTTTACAATTTCACTAATATTTTGTTTATTTATTCTTAACATTCGACTTCTAACTTTAATTTATTTTAATCTCTTATATTTCTGTTTTCTTTCTCTGATATAATTACACAAGATCTTAGAAAAAGCTAATTGCTACACCAAAAATAACAAAATGACCCTTTTGGCTCAGTAAAGATGCTAATAGCTGCTGTTGGCGATTTAAATGGATTAAAAAACTATATTTACCTTAGAAATCTCCATAATCAGCTTTTCCTATTTTGAACCCTTGTTCAGAGAATTATCCTCAATATATCATTCGATGATCACTTCAGTAGAGCTATCTATTTAAACATGCAAAATAATCCTTAGAGTACTATAACACGTCCGTGATAGCTGGGGACTTCTAAACGTGTACAATTATTGTTCTCACCGAATGCTGAGCATCCTGCAAGTTTGCGCTTCATTTCTCTACTGATACATGAAATGTAAGCATTTCATTTCTTTTCTGTAAAATGCTAATAATTGCTAGTCGAAGAGCGATGAAAAAGTTACCTTTTTAATAAAATGGGACTAGCTTCTCCTTTATCTACAATATGAATTCGAAGTGTTAGCTCTTAATATTTATTAAACTACAGCTATTTTACAGTCAAGGATCATCACTCAAGTTTGAGGCTTCCTTCGAAATATATTCATAACTAAGCTTGAAAATCTTATTTTCACTTGAAAATTGTAACAGATATTCGAAAATATGTTTATATTATTCGTCCAAAGTATGAGGGTTAACTATTCTGTGGTTCAAGAAATTCACTGAAAATGAACATTCACTATTAAAACATACACAGAGAAGCAAGGGTGAGGACCAATGGTCATCCGTTGACCATATCTTCTATGAGTAATGTGCGTCGCAATCGTGTAAAACTTTAATAATGAAAACTTAAGAGGAAAATATTCATAGATAAAATGTCATCAAGAAGACTTCGCGTACACTCCAATCCGAAGTCATTTCATTTACTTCGCGTCACTTTCCATAAACTTGCAAGCAAAATTAATAAATAGCATGTTTGAGATCACCAGACAAATCTGCATGGTCGTATCTCAATAGCTTCTTAGAGGGTGTTTCATAAGCCATGCAGCTCGAGAAAGTTAGTCTGTATGTTGGCCAGCCTCAAGACTTATGCAACATCCTCTATCTGCGTAAGGTATTTGGAAACCAAGACATGAAAAACTGTTTTTATAAAGTGGGGTGAGCCTGAAACGATTGAATCTTCCCTAGTAAATCAAACACTTGTCATCAGACATTATCTTTGATTTTTCGTAATGTCGCAGCTTCGAGAGTGTAAGACTTACTCGTCTCGTCCTCGCCATCGGCCTGCCGCTTGATAACGAGGTATGGTATAAGGACGCTGTTGAAAGAGAGATCGTCGATTGCTATACAAAGTGAGATAAAACAAGTTAGTGTAGTGTATGAAGATCGAACTGCTTACGTATATGTTGGATTTCTTGGTAGTGTTGTTGTTGGCGTTTCATTGAAATAAAGATGTCTTTTAAAAATACAGTTAAGTAGAATACTCCTAACCAAATACAGTGTTTTTTTGAAAACTTACACATCCCTTGAGCTGGTGACCGAGGACTGTTTGTCATCTTTTGACACGTTAGATATATTCCGAACGAAAGATTTGCATGTCTCCTGGCTTTTGGGTTGGAAGCTTACGCGCATTGTAACAATAACTTGATATCAATGAAATGTAAATGAAAAAAAACGCTTATCTACTTGACCTTGTTGTCATAGATGCTGAAATACTTCATTCACTGGTCCTCTTTATATTAAGAATAACTCACCATTTTATCTCTCCAACGTAATGACGACATTGAGGTAAGTATATTTATTTGCAAAAAATATTATATCACAAGGTTATCTAGAATAAAGGTCCGAGAATTTTAGACCACTATGATTATTAAATACAAAAAGATTTGTGTTTTATTTTCGAGGAGTGCATAACACATGAGATCGGCTTTGGTCACAAAACGTAAATGTTGCCTGATTTCTCAACTCCATGTTGACATTCTCAAATAGTTTTTGGGCTATTGAATGGTTCTGTCTAAAGTACAATAGTCTTCAACACTGATCGCTTGACATTCATGTGATAATCATCTGCTATCAAATGGTGAGAGAGCTAGAGAGAAAAGTAGAATCATTTTTATTTGTTTCTATGTCAATCAGTTATAATTAAGTAGGTTTATTGTCATACTCGTTCAACTTTTTCAGTATCACCTCACTAAGCGCGCAGCAGCGTTGGTAATCAGTAAAAGCACTACTTTGATGACAAGATTTCGGTCAACGACGACTAGACCAAAAAGTTTAATTTTGTATTCCTCAAAAGCGGTCTTCGTATGTGCGATAACAGTCTCCAGATAGCGAAGTGTGTTCTGAGCCTTGACCGATGTTCGTCTGTAGTTTTCATTGTCCTCGTCATCATCTTCGATGTGTAACTCCTCGTCATGAACTGCCTCGAGATGTACACGTAGTAGGAGCAAACTGAGTTTGGTTGTTGATGCATGATTAATTTCAGCGATAACAAGAAGAACAGCAACGACTAATAATGACATGATGACCAAATCAATGAGCATGACAATAGACAGTGGATTTTCCAGAACCCCTTGTTGTGGTGACTGGTCACTGCCGGTCAGTACCTGACCGATCGAGATAATTGCCAAAGTCGTGCCAGTAGTAAATGCAAACGTGACCGTAAATAGATGAATACGAACGCGAGTAGTTTGAGCACGACCCACAATTCGTTTCACTTTCATAAGAAAATAGTCAAGATTATGTGGCTGTTTAATATTTAAATATTCCACATTTGCTGTACTCTGTTCAATGTAGCGTTCGTCGATGTAAGCGCTAACCAAATTTTGGTGCAATTTGATCAGCAAGTTTCTGAAGCAATCAAATGCTCTAAAGATCATATAGGTGAATAGTATGAAACCAACGAAGCCGGTTATCACATAGGAGATGATAATAAATTGCGCGTACCATGGGCCGCAGATGCCCTTTCGCCCTTTTTCTTTAAGAATAGCGCGCGCGATGATGGGTGCATATGCATGAACAGAGGCCAAAAGAACAATTATGCTACCAGGAATAAGATACGAATGATAAGATTGGTTTTCAAGTGGGGTAGGTTTCGATTCCGAAAAACTCGATTGTTTTGAGTCTGGATCGAGGCCACACGGGAGAGTCTCGTCAATTTTTTCTACCGGTAAAGGATTGATGATAGCGGGACGAGCTCGATAGCGTATAAGGTCGTAGGAAGCTATACGATATGCATTTTTTACGGAGAGAAATTTTTTACGTTCTTTTGCGAGCGTTTCCAACATTCTAGCGGTGTAGTCAAGTGAAAGAACGTAGATAAGCAGCGCTAAAGGAAAATACGACTTGATTGCTGTGACACCATTCTTTTTCATATGAAATAGACATAGGCTTTGGTTGTGGTTTTCTTGACTTTTATGATTGTGAATGCTGTTGCTGGAGGAAGTATGAGTTCTTCTTCGTCGTTTTGGGAAAGGTGCGATACGTCTAAGCCGCCGTTTTCGGTGGCGTCGATAATGAATACTGTATTGCCGAATTGTTGTGCTTTTTTAAGATTTTTGCTAGTTGAGGTAAAGCCGCTCCAGCTTCTGTTCTGGCCGGTGGCTTCGGCATATAATTTTAGCGTCTTCTCGTCGATGTGGACACCTCGATAAAGTTCCACTGCGTGTTTCGTATCGGTTTTTAGCCAGCTGCTGAAGAGAATGTAACAAAATGGTCCCAAAATGTTTATTTTGCTCGTGTCGGTTTCTCTCAGTGCTTTATTTATTAGTCTATATAGAAAGGATTCCATTGTGTATAGCTGAATGCAACACTTGTAAATTTCTTCTCTTTTTTTGTTTTTCACGGCTATTAGTTGGCCAGGTAGATATTGTGACTCGACATGTTTACCTAGTTTCTTTCCTTCGATAATTATTCCATTTGCTGCCTGCTCTACTATTTCAGCGTCAGAAAGTTCCTTGTTTTTCTTCCACTGTGAAAGAAAAGTATAAGCGTCTAAGCTTGATAAATGTGATGAGCTAAAAAGTATAAATCTAAGAAATCTAAAAGTCTAAGAAGTCTCAGAGGTCTAAAAGTCTAACATAAGCTATGAGATTGAAAATACTTTTAGACTTTTGACTTCTACATGCATGATTTATAAAAACTAGAGGATGTGGAAAAGAAGAAGGGACCTGGAAATAAAAATCCAAATAACAGGTCTCTCCACGGACATCTTACCATCTTGGGAAAAAGAAAAAATGTATAGTAGAGCGAACCGTGCTCTTTACCTTCGATATAGTGAAATTTACACATCTTTAGATGCAATCTACTTCGCTTTATGTGTAATAAACGAAAGACAGCGGATCATTAAGTTTCCCTTCTGAAATCATGGAAGTAAGTTTTCTAGTAAAGCTAATCAGATATTCGTAATCAGGAGATATAACTGAATCGAATACGGCCCTCCACGGCCATTCTCTCTCTAGAAAGTTTTCATCGTATTCAGTAATCTTCGAATCGTTTCTAGAGTATAGGATATTCAATAGAATATTTTCTTTTCAAGACTAACAAAATATGCTTGAATTTGTTTCTTCGATAGTCGATCATCTCTGGCTGTTAATTGATACATAGAAGAATTTTGATACTTGTGACAACACACGAAAGTCTCTGTATTTAATTCGATTGAGTACGTGATGAAGAAGAATTTTCAATAAATGCTATTAATAACTGACGGTAAACATTTCTTTTGCTTCCTTTAATCGTGCCGTTTTAGAAAACTTTTTTATATCGATCAAATTACACTCTAAAATAGTGTAGTTGATGATGATGATAACAGAAGTAAATCATGTTCATTCGATTTAATTACTCAAGCATCATCCGTCTAGAACAGTATCATCCATTCTGCCATTCTGATACAAATCTCAGGGTTACTCGTGAGAAGCTTGTACGACCATCATCATTAGCGGATCAACGCCGTTCTTCCTTAAAGCTGACATCGTATAATACTGTATGAATAACACCTTGATTTAAGATGGCAACTACCAGTAAGAAATAGTCAACATCAATTACCTTGATCAGTGAAATTGTTTCGCTTAGAAACATCATCGACGAATTACCAGTGAGTCAAAAATAGTTTTAACTATCGTTCTTCAGCAATAAACAGAAACGCAGGATGAAACCTGCTGGTGCTTAGTAAGTTTTGTTCAAAACTGGCTGAAATTAATTCCAAAACTTTGGTATCAATCTTTCCGATCACCAAATTCGTTGTTAGTAACTGCATCACTTATGCCCTTAAATATATTTATTTACAAATTATTTACCTTACAAAAGCAAAGCTGAGCTAACTCTCTTTAGACATCCTCAGTTTTTCGTTTCCCAATGATTTTATTGTAAAGTGATGCTGGTTAAATAAAATAGCTAATCCAACACAGAATGTTTACAGAATATAGTTTCGCTATTGGTATATTAGATGATGCTGCAATGTAAACATCGCTATGCTGATAGTGAATACCGTGACGATCAATACCTGTGGTCCATTTGTAATCAGCTAGTTCACATATTGCGGCATCCTGTTAGTTAGTAGTACCAATACTACGTTATGTACATGTATCATGAACATGAAACTATATTCGTGTAAATATTCTGTGTTGCATTAACTATTTTATTTAACTTGCATCAAATTAATGATAAATCACATAATCAACCATTGGAAAAACGAAAAGACAAAGGACGTGCAGTTCAGAGCAAGCTAGCATAGCTCTCCATCTGTAAACAGACATATTTCTGTAGAATTCTATTGTTTCTTTGACTTATTTGGACAAAAGGTAGAAGCATCACGTTTTTTCCCCCATAGAATTGTTTGCATAGCTAAAAACTTAGAATCCACTATAACTTTTTATTAGTTTAATGCTTGAGACAGTTTGTGTTCTCCGAATAGCATGTAAAACGTATTAAATTTCATCTGACGCTAAACTCGTGAATGAAAATTATCCTTTAAACTACAGTTTTTGAAATTCAGCTTTCTTAGCATCACAAGACAAAGAAGGAAACGGGCGAATAAAATTCGACTGTTAATATTTGTCAGAAAAAAACCATCAGATTATAGACAGTTAACATGTTAAAACGATGGCTAACTCAGTTTTCCAAAATTCTAACTTTTGATTTTGCACACTTGTTGTACTCCTGAGGAAAATTTTTCCTTAGATTTCCACAATCAAATGCGCTGATCAAGAATCTCACTTTAGTCATACAAACATTGTTGTCAAAATATATTTTACTTGGAAATGCTATGCATCATAATACTTAGGAAATACGCCATTTCCTCTTCAAAAAACGATTTCTAAATGTTTGAAAGATTTAGTTATTCCAAAATAACTAATCTATTCAATCGAAGTTTGAAAAGTATTTTGTAAATCATATATGGGATGAAAAAAAAGTGATCAAGAATGAAAATCACAAATTCTCTAGACTAACTCGTATTCAAGTTTTCTATACCAGAATGAACAAATGATCTAACATGAAGTTTATATGATTAGACAGTTTGGAAGCTTTATCGAATGAAAACCAGTTTCAAAGAAAATGATAATGTGCTTTTTTTAGCAATTGAGGAAACATTTTCTGAAAAACTGAATTTTTGGTCAAAATTTCCACTAAACCCAGAAGACAGAGAGAAAACTTTCCATGAGAATGAACCATTTTCGAGTTCTGTGAGACGATTTATTGTTTAGGTATGAGCCTGACGATCTCTGAAGTTTTTATCACACATTCTGATTCCTCAGCATTAGGCATGTAGCGAAACCGAGTCTTGCTCGGAAGATTCAGGTCCGATACTCAGGAGAAGTACAAAGAAGTATCAAGAAGTACCGAGAAGTACAGAAGTATGCTTTTTCCCCCTTGGGAACGAATTTTTTAAGAAAATATCTTAATAAATTTTAAACAAAGTTTTGACATCGGAAAAGACTGTTATTGTATAACTCTTGAATGTTTCAAGTCTAGATATGGTGGGAGCAACGAGAAAATGGTATTAGAAGGTATATCTTTTATACAGCTAGTTTGTCTTATCAACCAAAGATCAAATGTGTAGTGTCAACCAATACGAAATGAAAATACTATATGATTTATTAATGTAGACCGGTTTCATCAATTGTCTAACTGGTTCTTGTGAATATTCTTCGGTATTGTATATACCGACTGCTGCTGTTGATGATGAGTCATCATCATTCTTCGCATTGTTCATAGTTTTTTCATTTTGTTTGCCAAAACAAAACGAAGTATGAAAAAACCCAGTAATAGGATGACTATCCCTATACATAAAATTAATATGACGTCTCGCCACGTTGGGTGGTCACAAGTTTTTGCAATAATAATCAAGATTGATTGATCGAACTATGTAATTTAACGGCTATATATACATTTTTCAAAACAGTGAAAGGTCATCAAATAAAAAATGCTTTATTGCATAGGTATCACACAGATGTCCGTTGATCAAACTTTCTAATTTTTTCAGAAACTAAAGCCATGCAAGATGTAAAGTGTATACAGAAATGTGCGTCTTTTAAAACTGAATAAATATACATTAGTTTCATGTTAATTAAATGATAAAAACCGGTGGTATTCTTTTAGCATTTATACTAGAGACGTAGGCGCATGTAACAAGAGCAAAATGAAGATTAGATTTGGTGCCAAGATGAGGTATGAAAAACAACGTAGAATTCAACAGGACTAGTGTGAGGATCTCCAGAGGGTCTCTTGAAAACCCCAGGTAGGAAAGTGCGGATTTATTGCGCTTTTAGTGATTGAATTCGCTGATATTACAGTAATTTTTACTTTTAGATTTGTTCAAGTGCTCTTTAGCCATGCCTGGTCATTCACACAGAAGCAATCAGTCTAAGACGGCGGTAACAAAGCGTTGATCAGAAACAAAGCTTGGTAAAACTTACAATTACGATGTTGAAATGAAAGAGGAATCGAGGGACGCTGATTATGAACCAGAAAGCTCTTCTGCTATTAAAACCGAACTCAGTCAAGCTGAATTTTTATCCTATATTAGCGACTTAGCGGAAATTTGTAAAGAAAAATGTGAAAGAAAATTGATTAGTACATTATTATTTGCAACGTTGCAGTACTTAGAGATCCCACCGGTAAAAGTGATGAATTTTTAGAAAGTGTTGGCTGTTATCATCGTGTCGCTTGTCAGAAATGGTTAGAAACTTTTGTTAACGGCTCGTTAGAAGATTTTACGATGGAAAATCGGGGTGGTAAACACGTCAGCAGTTTTTACGAAGATTTTCCGGAGTTACAAATGGCTGTGCAAATCTTTGCCACTCAAAAATGTCAACAGAAATCAGCTGAGTTCAAATTATCAGATCGACCTGATGATGTGTGACTATGTCAGTGGAGCAGCTGAAAGCATTCGAAACCGGTCTACGTTCGTAAATCATACCCTGTTTACAAATCATACGTCTAATACGAATACTTTATCTTTTCCTAAATTGCCTTTACTGTGAGGAAACAATCAGATGTTGTTTTCAGTAAATAATTAATTGGAAACTCTCTAATAAAACTCCGTTGACTAAACTGAGTACTAAAGATATATAACCCTTGTTTTACATGGCCTTCGTAACACCATATCCTCTCTATGAGATAGTCAGTCTCTAGGATCACCAACAGGGCTTTCGTAACGATAATGCAAGGGATTAATCTCTAGTACATGCTCTGACAGGGCTTTCGTAAAGGAGTCTATTTGTACTTTTTATCCCAGATATAAATGATAATGCTATATTATTTCCAGGACTTTCGTAACGAATGCTGC